TGCCCACTAGTGGGCATTCCAGCTTTCATGGTGGGCGGTAGGGGTTTGCTGTAACTCTGCTTTATAAATTTTATAAAGAAAAGTTACTGCCCTAGTTTATAAATCACCATTACTGTAGTACAGGTGGGTAGTTAGAAAATTTTACTACTAACAGATACAAAAGTGGGCGGTAGGTATAAAAAGGTTGACTACCCCTGATCTAAGGAAATGAAAGTAGGCCAGCAATGGCGAACCTTTTTTTGGCTCGCGTGCCATAAGTGGGGGGAGCGCAGGGGGGGTCGTGTGCGGGCGTGCCGCACCCATAATGCAATGCACAACCCCCCCCAGTGCGCATGCAAGTACTATAGGCGCCACCCCATTTTTTGTATGCATTTTTCGCCCTCCCCAGGTTCAAGAGGTTTTATAGGAGCCTGGAGTGGGCGAAAACAGGCTCCCCCGCTCCCCGGGAAGCCCTCCGGAGGCTTCAGGGACCTTCAGGAGGCTTCCCTGAAGCCTCTGGAGCAGTTAAAATGACCCTCCACGCAAACCAGGAGTCCGTTTCCAAAGTTCCGGTTTGCCCGTAGGGCTGGTTTTTTGTGCTCCAGAGGCTTCATGGAAGCTCATGAAGCCTCCGGAGGGCCTCCGGGGGGACGCGGGGGAGGCTCTTTTCGCCCTTCCCAGGCTCTTATAAAGCCTCTGGAGCCTGGAGAGGGCGAAAAATGGCTTTAAAAAAGGGTAAACTCAGCGGGCCAGCGTGCACATGCACACTGGCCAGCTGACAGGACAGCACCTCGCGTGCCCTGACAAATGGCTCCACGTGCCACCTGTGGCACGCGTGCCATAGGTTCGCCATCGCTGACCTAGGCTTTAATTACATGCCCGCTTGGGTATATATTTTATTACTCAAAATAGGTTCTTCTGAATTTAAGCATGCACTGAATTGGGCTTTATGTTTTATTATCTTAGCTTTCTTAAATGTTCATTAGATACAGTATAAATCTGATTTCCTACATGCTGTGATATGAAAAGTCAGACTTCCTTAGCAACCTTCTAAAGTAGAAGATAAAAACTCATCCACCACTATCTCTTGTTGCCCACATTCTGTAACTGTAGAAATATGTAGAATTCTATAGTTCATGTTATCAGTTCAGAGAAAATTATCCTGAAAAACTGGCCCGATAACAACCAGATCTGGATGACAATTATGCAAGTGAAAAGCTTGAGAGCTGCCTTTTTAATTAATGGCTATTTAATGGCTGAATTAACATTTTCATAGTTGATTCTTTAATATTACCAATAGGCTGGATGTAAATCTGTCTCTTCTGTGGGGTTGGCAAATTTCTGCAGGGGTCATGATAAAACTGTGAAAAATCCTGGGTGGGTTCAGGATGTGAGGAAATCCAGTCTGATTCAGATTCCAGAGTTATAGGTTTAAAAAGAGCACTGTCTTGTTGAAATGCTTCATTCAGCAAATGCTTCTCCTTAGGATCAAACTTCTCATAAAGCTTCAAAAGCTGTCTGTCCTTGGAGAGAAGAGCTGTTTTCAATGCCTCCTCAGAATGCCTAATTACCTTCATCTGATAACAAGAAACAAAGATGGTTATGAAATCTGGCTCTTACATGCACATTATTTTAAACAGTTCCTCTTTGCCATCAGTTAAGTCTTGCAAATTCCTCCGATTCTTATTGCAAGCAGATAAGTAACAAGCCAAGCCCTGGACATGCAACATAGCTTAGCCTTAGTGCTTATTCAGCAAGGATCATGTCCTACCCCTGCAACAATCAACTTCTCCATTCTCTTCCTATTTCTGTACCAACCATTTATTTCATAACCAACTTCTGCTTTCCAACATGGTGACCATAAGAAAGATTTGCTGCAAGCTGTCCTTAGTCTAGTTCCTGAATTAGTTCACGGATCACAACTTTTAAAAAAAATCCAGTACATGCAATGTTGGTTTGAGGTTTAGTGACAACTAGTATCCAGATGAATCTCATACAAGGCATAATTCATAACAACTTTAATGTCTGTGGTACGTATAATTTATTGTATTATTTAATTGATTCAGTGCATCCAACATTTCCCTCTCAATTATGCTCATCTGGAACATCTGCAAACATTAAACTGTAGAAAGGATTATTAGAGAAATTTTCCATATGCTATCATTAGTGGACAGATCATGTATTTTAAATTCTGAAATGATGTGGTTACATTGTGAAGTGATTGTTATGGAGACTCTTTTATTCTTTTTAAGATTGTGTTCTGCCATCTTTTGCTCAACCCACATCTCAAAATACAAGATTTAGTTGTTAGATTTTATCCTATCTTTCATACAAGAATTCAAGATGGCATATGTCAAACTTTGTCTTCCTATTTTCCCCTAGATCAACTTGGTAAGTTATGTTGGGCTGAGAGAGGGGGTTAAAATGGCCTAGTCACCTAGTGAGTTTCAATTGATAACAATAATTTGAACCTAGATTTCCGTAGTGCCAGTCCACCATGATGTATGTGTAGCATACACATTAGATGAAATTGATGAGATCCTCAAAAAGAGAGAGAATGAAGGCATCTAATACTAGAAACAGTTATCTTTCCTTTCCTTTGTCTCATTTTCATACATTAATTTCTTTGGTTTACTATTTCTTACTCTTTGTCTGTACTTTGCATATCATTCCTTATTCCAAAAGAGAATTTCATGATGAACATGAATGCATTTACTGTATTTATATACTATTAAGTGTTGAAAACAACATTTCCACTTTTCACTGCACATCATTGGTACCAACAAACAACTTTCAACAGGCTGGGAAAGCTAAAATAATTGTTTTATTTGTCCAACACTTGATAATCTCCTATGTAAGTCTTTCTTTCTGAGAAATAACATATAGATATACCATATTCCAAACCTGTTTTTGAAAGTCCTCTTGGTTTCAAAAATTACCTGCCATATAGTAACAGATTCGTGGGGAGATTGCTTTTCTTATGCACAAATCTAATCTCATATTCTGCGCATAGAGATTAGGGAAACAAATTAGATCCTTCTAATTTAACTAAGAAAACATAATTTGAGGAAACCTGTTCTTCAGCTAAATTTTCAGAACCAGTTTCAAAATGTATTCTTCTACAATATATTTCCAAAAATGTTTTTAAAGTTTTTTAGTAACTTCCTTTGTCAATAATTCTACAAAATATATTTTTGCAATCCATATATACTGGATGGCAGGCAGAATTATAATCTTTAATTAGCTGTTTTTCCTATACAACCATAAACATATTCTTGGATATTTTAATTTATTGGGAGACACTCTCATATTTGTACATTCATATGTTTGCATATTCGTAGTGGATTCTGGATTATGGGAATATTTGAAAATTTAACTGGATAACCCAGCAGCCAAAAACTTTATACTGAATTTGTATTTTGGAGTTTCAGAAAGCAAAGTAGTAAGTCATTTATTAAAACCCGCTTTAGCATATTTCTCTGATTAGGCTAATATAGCATATTCTTCTGAATTAGGCTAGTATATCAAATCCTCTCAATTCCATGATAAGCAACTAATTCTTTAAGAACTTGAAGATGCAGTTTAATATTGGCCCCCATTTTCCACCAAGAGCCTGCTCCATTTGCACTCTCTCCCAATACAATAGGGTGCTCCCAAAGCACTTCCCCAATCCTCAGGTGCAATTTATAGATGACAGGGCATCATAAAGGAGCTCAGCAAATAACAGCACCTCTACCTCGAGTTTGATTTGAACACCTGTACATATCCAAGCAATTATTCTGGCAATACCATGAAAGTTTTGCCAATTCCACACTGAAGGATTTTGTTATTGGTTTTCAGTTTCTCAATCTCAAATCAAGTCCTGCAGTAGGCTGGGATTTCCCATGACAGGAAGGGTAACTAGCTCTGATCCGGATTATTATTATCTCTTTTATTCATTAAACATGAAACTCAGTCAACTGAACATTTAAAAATGCATCAAAAATATCATTGACTGGTGCTATTGGTTGATACAGGTTGCTGCCAGCGTCCTGGGTATCAACCAAGTACCTTCTTAAAATATATGATGTCCAAGAGGCACAGTTTTTTGCAGTTCTGCTGGTGTTATTGCAGGAAGATGCAATTTCTTGATGTATTTTGTAAAATTCTTGTACGTGGTAACCAAGTGCCCCAATGACAATGGGTATCACTGTTACATGTTTCATTCATAGCCATGTAGTTTCGATGGCTAATAATAATAATTATTTTCCTGAAATCACTCATGTTTATCAAGGTAGCTACCACGTAAGACAGGCAAGCCTTCCACTGTCCCATTTTACTCTGTCTTAAATCCCAACGTTACATACATATATTGGTCAATTTCTGTGGTGATTTAATATAGAAGCAACATAACATACTGCGAGGGGAATAATTTGATCTTCAGCTTAAGCTCACATCCCGGAAGAAGAAGAGTCAATTTTATTCTGAAATAAAATAAAAAAGTGCACATTCAAAGTGATAATAAAGCTAAAGTTATTCTACTATTCTAGTTATTACTATTAATCTAATTAAATGGCGGCCAAATCAGACCATCCCCTGGCTGTTGCAGCTGACTCTGCTCTCCATCTTCCAGGAAGCAGACGTTCTCCCGCCCCGCCCCCCGTTGACGCCGCCCAAACTGCACGCGCCACACTCACTGCACGGCGCTGCCGTTGTTGTTGCTGCCGCCGCTGATAACCGCCCTACGCACGCAGGCACGCATCGGCCGGCGGGCTACCACTTTCTTGTCTCAGTTGCTAGGCTACCGGTCCTTCCCTTGTCCTCCTCCCTCCCCCCTCGCAGTCTCAACGGAAGCAGATCGTTTGACGCCTGGAGAGCGGAGGGCGAGGCTGGGAGGAAGAGCGCGAGGGCGCGTGCCTTCTCGAGGAGTTTCTCTCGGAAAGTTCTTACTTCCACGTCGCCAGATCACGTGCCGAAGGCGCACGCACACGGGCTCGCCTCAGGAGAGGCGCTGCCCACGCGCGAGGCGCTCCTTGTGCCGTTAGAGGCGAAGTGTCGCTGAAGGTTTAGTTACAAAGAGGTCTTCAAATTTGGCAACTTTAAGACTTGTGGACTTCTGGGAGTTGAAGTCCACAAATCTTAAAGTTGCCGAGTTTGGGGACTCCTGGTTTAGTAAATTAACCCAGTTTTGTACATGTTCACGATGCGGATTCATAAACTAATCCTGGGAGCTGGGTGTGCCCAGTGGGTTTAAACAAAAAAAACAAGTAGCCCAGGGCTTCCTTGAATCCAAAAAATTACATGAAATCGATAAGCTGCAATTAAGAACACAATTAAGAAATGTAGCCAGCATCTCTGAAGGAATGAAGAAAGTGTTTCGACATTACACTCGCCCCCTCCCCCCAAGGAGTAGTATCCCGCCAAAAGTTGTTGGGAGTCGGCTGCAAATTTTAGTGTGAATAGCGCTATAAATGTCCCAAAGGTGCTTTTTCAAAAGGTGACCTGGATGATTGAGAATCTCCATGGACAGCTCTGTAAATGAAAGCTTTGCTGCGTGCACCCCCCCCCCCCCCATACAGGAAAGCCTTTCTATAGAACGCGAATGCTTCTGTATGCACACATAGGCAGGGATGTTTCTCCCTAGATGCAAAAGTGCAACATGTGGCTGCTTATGCAGTGAACTGTAGAAGGCAGGAATGGGGCTAGGCTCCTATTGCCAAAATTATTTTGGTCAGACTCAGACTGCACATAGTAAACAGTGGTGAGTTTCTACACAGTATGCTGAGCTTAACACTGGCTGTTTACTTTGTGGCTCAGTCTGTTGTAAAATAACAGAGTTCGAAGGGACCTTGGAGGTCTTCTAGTCCAACCCTCTGCTTACAACACTTCAGACAAATGGTCTCTTCTTAAAAACATCCAGTGTTGGATCATGAACAACTTGTGGAGGCAAATTGTTCCACTGATTAATTAACTGTCAGGAAATTTCTCCTTAGTTCTAAGTTGCTTCTCTCCTTGATTGGTTTCCACCCATTGCTTCTTCTCCTGCCCTCGGGTGCTTTGGAGAATAGCTTGACTCCCTCTTCTTTGTGGCAGCCCCTGAGATATTGGAACACTGCTATCATGTCCCCCTAGGTACTTCTTTTCATAAGACTAGACATATTCCATTCCAGTAACCGTTCTTTGTTTTATCCTTGAATCCCCTATTGTGTGAACTAAGCCACTGGTTTTGGTTCTGTAAATCAACCCAAGCATTGGAATTAGTAGTATTTAGCGCACATACAGGTAGTCCTTGATTTATGACCATTTGTTTAGTGACTGGTTATAACAGCACTGAAATTTTTTTCTTAAAATCATTTTTCACACTTACGACCATTGCAGCACTCCTATGGTTGTGAGTGGGAGGACTGTCTGTACTTAGTGAAGAATGGATGTTCCTGAACAAAGCTGACCAGTACAGCTGACAAAAGCATAATATATTACATTGGGCAACTAAGGGTTTTTTTCTTAATTGATTTTATTAATTTTCTATTAGTTACATTAAGGTAAAGGTTCCCCTCGCACATATGTGCTAGTTGTTCCTGATAATATCTTCTTAATTATCTCTTCATCTTGGGGTGTGTCTTAATCTTTCCAATATTGTGTGAAAATAATCCTCGCTGCTGGATGTTCCTGAACAGAGCTGACCAGTACAGCTGACAATAGCATAATATATTACATTGGGAGCTAAGGTTTTCACATGATTGATACAAACAGAATTTTGCTTAGCTTCAAAGCAGCATAGCAAATTGATTATAATTGTAAGAGAATATAATGAGGGCGCTTCCCACTACAATTGATAACCAATGACATAATTTCAATATTTCGATTGCCAAATCTGGGAATAACTGCCCCAGTTTAGTTTGTGTACAGTGCAAGAATGGGGGCATATGGATGAATACTAGAGTATTTGGAATTTTATATAAGACTTCATTCATATTCATTAGAACATCAGCTTTTGGAAACAGAAATGAATGTATTAATATATGATCATTAGATGCAGCCACATAAGTATGGAACAAAGTCCTTTGAAATTGTTATAGTATTCAACAGTTCCTCATGTTTGTTTTTGTATGTTGTTGTAATACTGATCCTGTCAGACTTTTACATCAATCATCTGTTGGAATATTACAAAACCACAAAATATATACTCCATGTTTGTTTTTGGTCAGACAAAGCCATCTAAAAGTTTGTAAGAGAACGTATCAGCAATGTTATTCATAATATAAGTGTAGTTATACCAATAGTATAATCTTATAACTATATATAACTATATAACTATACACACACACACACACATATATAATTTATATTTATACTTCATAATTAAAATTATTAATTTATGTTTTACTTTTTTGTATTTTTACTTGCTGTTAATATTTCTTATTTGAGGGTTCCATGATTGTTGCTTGTCTCTATAGCTATTTTAATATATAGTATCCTAGGTGTTTTAAATGTTTTGCTCTATCATATACCATGTAAGCCGCCAAGGGTTGACAGATATGTAACAGGTGAGTGCATATTATTTCTAACAGCAGAATAAATATCAAATCAGCTTGTAATATTGCAAGCAATATATTCAGTATTCCTAGAATGCTCGTCATTAAAAAATTGTTTCTTGTGATATACTATACATTCAGAAAAGGAAAGCAAGAGATTTTATGTTCACATTAAAACAATGATATTTTAAATTGAGTTTGCTTAGTTAGTACAATGTGATACATAGGGAAAAAAGGCCAAACCTCCACTCTTGGAGCTAATAAAACAACTGATATGTAGGTAGTCCTTGACTTACGATCACAATTAAGCCCAAGTTTTTTTGTGGCTAAGCATTTGTTAAATGAATTTTGCTCCATTTTAATGAACTTTCTTGCCACGGTTAAGTGAAAAACTGCAGTAGTTAAATTAGTAACAGTAACTAAATGACTCTGGCTTCCCCATTGACTTTGCTTATTAGACAGTCATGAAAGGGGATCACATAACCCCGGGGATACGGTGACCGTCATAAATATGAATCAGTTGCCAAATATCTGAATTTTGATCACATGAGCATGGCAATGCTGTAACCATCATAAGTATGAAAAATGGTCATAAGTCACTTTTTTCAGTGCTGTTGTAACTTTGAATGGTCACTAAGTGGACTGTTGTAAGTTGAGGACTACCTATACAACATAATACCTTTCCTGAATGGCTCAGTTTTTAAGCAAGATTGACATTAAGAGTCAATGAAGGTATCTTAGTTGCTTTAGCCTAGGAAAAGTGGCAAGAAAAGCAGCTTCTCTTATTTACAATTCTGTAGAGATTGATGCACAATTATTTGTTAACATGAAAGAAAATGTTAAGGAAAAGAGGAATATGTTGTTCTGCTTTTGGTACTAAGATTTGGCTACTAAATTATGTTATTCATTTAAGTCTCTTGTAGGTAATGAATACTATTGTATTTCCATTATTTGCCTTAATTAGAAATTTTAAGTATTTGTAGATATAAGTAGTTGGATAAAAAATAATACAAACAAATTTAAAGCCAGTAAGTTTTAAAAGTCAAAAAAGATTGGTGGATTTTTTTTGTTGGCTGGAGGTTGGCCTTCAAATAAGCTTGCTTCAGTCATTTTGGCTGGAATTTGAGATGTTTCCATTTGTTGTGTCATTATGTAATCTAAGTTACTTTTAAAGAAAGGAAAACTTGAGAAATTTTGCTTAACACAGACAAGGCTTCTAGGTAGTAGAAAGGGCGTTGGTATTGTCCCAGTCGTTTGGCCTCTTTCATGAGGACTCTCGATCTGGTTCCCCCCCCCCCCCCCCCGGTCTGTTTATACGAGCCTTGGTGGTAATGTTGTCTGTGAGGACTAAGATGTGGCTGCCCCTGACAAGGTGACGAAATTGAAGGAGGGCCCAGCAGACCGTCCTGAGTTCCAACCAGTTTATGTTGTGAGTCAGTTCCACCTGGTTCCATTGTCCTTGCACCATCTGAGCCCGCAGATAGGCGCCCCATCCGAACAGGCTTGCGTCCGTTGTTACCGTCACCCTGTCTGGCGTTCTGAAGATCTCGCCCTTGGAGATTGCTGGGGATGGATGGCTTCCTACATCAGCAACCTCCGGGTCGGGTTCCTTGAGACAGGGCAGCTCCGAAAGGAACTCGGGGGGTTGGAGAGGAACTCGAGTGAGAGACCATATCGAATGGTGTTCTAGACCCACTTATCAGAGGAGGTTAAGTCCCAGTGGATGGTGAAGTACGCCAAGCACCCCCCAATGGGAGGTGAGCTAGGTCTAGGTCTAGTTCTTGCGGAAACGGCACCCTTCTGCCCTCTGCTGGGTATCTCACTGGATGAAAAGCCTCCCTGATACTGCCTGGGGCCCGAGTACCCAAACTCTGACCCCCTGAAGGAATCCTGACCCTGGAAGGAGGACCTGAAATCCTGCCCCTGGGAGTTGGGGCGTCTAGGGTATGGCGCTGCCCTGAAGTTGGACTTCTTGTAAACCGTGGGGAGCACCTTCCATTTGTCCTTGTTCTCTACCAGGAATGGGTCGAGGGCTGCTCCAAAGAGGGATTCTCCCATGAAGGGGGCTGATGCCAGGCGCCATTTGTGGCATACTTCCCCTTGCTACTGCTTCATCCAAAACAGCCTGCAAGATGCCACAGATGAGGCAATCACTCTGGAGGCAAACCTGGCTGCAGCTAGGTAGCATCTGAGGAGAATTGGGTGGCGGCCACCAGCTTGTTGATGTATTGGTGGGCCCTGCCATCTGAAATGGGAATTCGCTGCTGCAGGTCTTGCAGCCACAGCAGAGAAGACCGGTTGAAGAAGGAGACAGTG